AGAAGGGCAACGGAGCTGGTGCAGGGTCTGGAGCACAGGTCGTAGGGGGAGCGGGTGAGGGAACTGGGGGTGTTTAGTCTGGAGAAGAGGAGGCTGAGGGGAGACCTCATCGCCCTCTACAGCTCCCTGAAAGGAGGTTGAAGAGAGCTGGGGATGAGCCTCTTTAACCAAATAACAAGTGACAGGACAAGAGGGAATGGCCTCAGGTTGCTCCAGGGAAGGTTTAGACTGGATATTAGGAAGCATTTCTTTACAGAAGGGGTTGTTGGGCATTGGGCTGCCCAGGGAGGTGGTGGAGTCCCCATCCCTGGAGGTGTTTAAGAGTTGGGTTGACATAGTGCTGAGGGATATGGTGCAGTTGGGAACTGTCAGTGTTAGGTTAATGGTTGGACTAGGTGATCTTCAGATCTTTTCTAACCTAGATGATTCTGTGATTCTGTAAGTCAGCAAACTTGACCCTGCTACAAAGAACATGGATGTTAAGGACTATAGTGCTGTTTATCTGTTCTTCATATCAAAATGAGTGACAGCACAGAACAGGTAGTTTTGTGCTTGTATTAGCAATCAAGAGAAGGTTTAAAAAGTACAGCTTGTCTTTTTTGTCTATGGCAGTTTTACATTTTTTCAAATTGCAAAACAGCATTAGTTGATTCTGGACTCAATCTTTAAAATAAAGCTTATTAAACTCCAGTTCTTACTACATGTATCCCTGAATAGAAAGGGACAGTAGCTGATACATAGGTACTACACATCTTCAGACAAAAGTCACTGTAGGCAAATAACCACTTGAAGGGAATTAAAAGGGCTGATTTTTAAAAATGGTAGATTTAAACTTCTAAAATGTCCTTACTGTAATGATGGCTGATGTATCTAGTCTTGGGCAAAGCTGTGCCAGCCCTCCAGTTTGTTTTTTCTGCCCCCAGGTGAGATCAGTGGGTCAGTGAACAAAGGAAAGTGCAGAGGAATCTAGGATGGAATACAGGCGATTTTCTTCTTTCTCAACTAGCAATGGATGCTCCTGATCACAGATTTTTACTATCATCTTCCAGTTCTGTAAGGAAATAAGCTAGTAACATGGAATTCAGAAGGAAATAGGAGGGAATGCTTTTTCTCCTATTTGTTAGTTGCGAGCTGCATTATTTCTCTGTTTTAAGTGAGTTAACACACAGTGCCTGTAATCAAAGTCTGACTTTGTGCTGCAAAAACCTTCAGTAAGAACACTTCTGCTATGTGCACACATTCTACTTCATGTGATGCTATCTACTGGTAAGAAAGTTAGAAGCAAAAAAACAAGAACTGCACTAGCTGTACACTTAATTTCAGGATTTTCAGCCCAAACAGTCTACAGATAATTTTATTGGTGATTATCCTTGGGGGTTCTTGACCAAAATAGAGAGTCAGACCTCTGTTCAACTGAATACCCATGATGCTACTTTTGGCTCCTGCTGGCTGACTGCAGCTGTGAAGTACTAAAATCAGTTAAAGTAAGGCTGGTGAGAGCATAATAGCTGATTATCAGAGTGGCAAATGTACTCCCTAGATCCAGCTAGGAAAAAGCAGCAACTGGTAATTCTCATTTTCTATTTAAACCATCACCTTCAGTAGGAGATATGTTCTCAGTTTTTGCTAAGCCACAGCCACACTGCATTATGTGGTGTTCTAAAACTCATGCATTAAGTGATTTTCAACTTGTACTGCATAGCTAGAGAAATGCATACTGGAGCAGAATGGAAAGGAAAAAGGAAATTAAAGTACTATAAAACCTACTGCATCTCTTAATTTCCAGGAAAACATAAACACCTATGTTTACATGGTGCTGGTTACACAACCAACACATAGTGAATCAAGAATTCAGCAAGAACACCTAGTTTACCTACACTGCTCATTTCTGTCAGCAGCAAATATGATAAAGTAACTGTATTGCTAAAACTGATCTCCAGTATCCAACCTTGAAAGTCTTGGCACAGAATCCACACCCCCATTAAGCACTCAGGGTCTCCCAGTACACAGAGTCACAGAACAAGACAGGCATTTCACAATGTAATAGGAAACCTAGTTTGCTGAGGAGGGAACTGGCAAACTAGCCCTAGGAATAAAAAAGCTATCACACTGTTTAATTAGGAGACTGGGAGTATCAATTCTGAGGTTTCTAATTTATTATCTGCATTTAGTGCTTGTTTGGTTTTAGGTTGTTTCTGAAGGGGAACAAGAGCAAGACATGAAGGTTGTGGTCTTTCTAAAAATGTAAGTGCTTATCAGCTGCTGGTTACAGGCATTTATCACTTTAAGATGATAAGCAAGTATTCTATGAAATAAAGCATTTGGGTTTGAAATTAGTAAAACGTATTGGGAAGAGGAAATTAGTAAAAATTCCATTTAATCTCATTCAGTCCAGAGCTCTTGTGCTAGCACTCGTGGTAATTTAGTCAGGCTGTTTTTCATAAGAAGGTCTGTACTTGCTTTTAAAACAGAAGACAGAATATGGTATTGGGCTGTTCACAAAATCCTTGATCAAAACAAACACTGTAATTACCTTCAGATTCTCCTGTACCTGTTTGGTATATTTGTGATTCCAACAAAATGAGTTTTCTGTAACCTTTTCTGAAACTTTTCTGAAATCGTCTTACTCAGTACCAGTAAATTATTTGTCCTGTTCCTCGAAGCAAATGTTGGCCTTTGATACAAATCAGAGGATGGCTGGCGAAGTGCATTTGCTGAAATGAGAAGTAAGCTCACTGTCTACAAATCAAAATGGAAAGAGGTCCCTGATAGGTGTACATACTGAGTTTCACTTACTAGCAGCACAGATCTAGTTCAAAATGTGCAAATAAAACAGATTCTGCTTTTCTGCTACAATTTCCTCCCTTTCAAATTTATATCACCCAGTGCACACAATACACTAATCAGCCTTATAGCCTGGCACCTGAAAAATAAAATTTAAAATAATTGAAGGGTCTTGCTCAGTTTCAAAGCAATTTTCACACCCATTTAAAAAACTTAAGTCACAGTATAAGTAATGGCAAATTTATTCTTGTTACTAGCAAAGACATAACCAGTTGCCCTTTAAGGCACTTTTTTTTGGACTTACAACAATGTGATGTGCTATTGCTTAAAAAAGTTGGATGAGTTATTGACTGGAGTGTGCTCTGAAGGTTCAGTGATGGTGGAAGTCTGCAATCCCTCATAATTCTTGAAGAACTTCATGAAAAGCATAACAGTTTCATTACTAAACAATCAAGTACTGCCTGACTATTAAAAACATCCATACTTAAGAAGTCATGGGTTTGAAGTCCTTTAGAGCATGGCCAAGAATCCAGCTGTACAGGGGACTAACAAATGAGCTACTGGATAAAAAGGGGTGGTGGGGAAAAGAGGCATAAACCAGAAGACTACTCCCTCCTCACATTCCCATTCCTGTCTCTTCTCTAACGTGGAAGTAAAAATTGAACTTTATTTTTGGGGAAGAGAGATTTGAAATCTTCCTCCAGTAGCAGCTTCAGGTGTGAAGACAAACAGGCAGCATCAACAGAGCAGAGTAAGTTCTTTATCTTCCCTGAGGTGCCAGCTCAAAACACATCCCCTTCTTCAGCATTTCATTTGGTTGCTTCAGGCTATACACACTCCCAGCTGTGAAAGCCATATAGTTAAATTCCCCCAACAGAGCATAGCATCTGCTCAAAAGCTGCAGAATTGTAACAGGCAATCCAGGCCTAATTCCCATCATTGACCTGTCCCAAGATCATCAAACATACATACAGTTACCTTGCTGTCTAAAGCTCAGGAATCCTTCCAAACTGTAGAAATTGTGATTTCCATCCAAGGAATCACCTCCTTTCCCTAAGGCAGCTTATTCCATGTATCTAGAGTTAGTTATGCCTGGTCAGAGCAAGAATCCATGTTAATGCCATGTAGCCCAAAGTTTTCTCCTTAACATGCTCCCCTGAGCTCAGATCTCAGCCCCTGCTGGATTTAGAGACAAGTTAATCCTAACCAACAGTAAAGGAAACCCTCAGTCATGGAGATGGTTTTGCTCTCACAGATGTTCCATTTTAAGAATCATCTGCTAAAGCAGGGACTTGGTGTCAGTTTCTAATTTCTAAAGGGAAAACCCTCCTCACTGAGTTATCTAATTACTTGCACAGTCACCAGCATGAAGTGGAGACCAAGTTCCAAATCTTCTGGTCAGCCCAAATAAACCCTACCAGAGAAATACTCTGAAGTAAGATGTAGACAGATCCACATGCAAGTCTTTCCAGAATGATGAAGTACTCAGACCACCCAGTCTGTCAAGGACATCCCATGTGGGGGCATGACACATCATGGCCTTCCAAGATTTCAATCAGATTCTATGTAAAGAATCAGGTCAGCAGCTCTGCATGTGCTCAGCAGCACAGGTCCAGGCTATGGGAATGTGCAGATGCATATGTAGGTAGTTGGTTCCTGGGGCAATGAGAAGATACCTAAATGCATTTAAAGATCTGAATCAGTGTCAGAGAATGAGGGCTATAAGCTCCGAGTTAGAGCATCTCCTGTAAAAATCAAATTTAGGTGTCCTCAGATACTTTCTCAACGATTATGCAAAGAACTGACTGAAGATGAAAAAAAAAATTATCATCTCACCAGCTATCATCCCTTCAAAGCTGCTTAAAGACACTGGTCTCATGTTGGGGAATTAATATTTTGCAGCTTTAGGTGCACATGTTCTGCAAATAAATAAACCTAGTATCTTTCAACATGAGGTTTATTTCCATACTAGTTAGAAAAACAAAATTAACTGCAAAGAAAATAATCTTCATTCATTCCGAAAGAATTATAGTTCTATTCTCAGCACAGTATTTACCTGTACATACTAATTTCACTGATCTCCATTCAGTGGGTGATTAGAACAGTAAAGAATCTGCCGGGGATTTCTCTGTGGTTGCACACCAAATATGTCTGCCTGACATGAACGACAGGAATGTTAATGCCAGTTTAAATGAACAAGTCCTTAAATGATTCAGTTTAATGCCTGCTTTAGTGAAAGCTTTGTTTGCAAAAAAGCCAAAAACATTTCTTATGCACTGACCATCATTTATGTTTTGGTCTTCTAACCAATGCCTGCAAATTGGCAGGCCCACCCCATACAGTTCCAAAAACGTCTTTCTCTGTCCTTAGGGCAGCTTCTACTGGTAGCTCTCTTCCCGCTGTCACCACCTTTTTCACAGCCTGAATCACAGTGGCTGGACCCTCTGTGTACTGACTCAGCCAGGCCTGGGCTTCTTCTAATGCTCCGGTTTCATCTGAAGATGACAATGTCTCCTCTGAGAGCCCAAGGTGCAAAGCTCTCTCGGGGTCCACTCCGGCAGCCCCACTCAGCAGCTGGAGGGCAGCCCCGCTGCCAACGATCCGCACCAGCCGGGCAGCTCCTCCCCAGCCTGGCACCAGACCCATGTGCTTGTGAACAAACCGAATTTCACTCCCAGGTGTCATCAACCTGTCAATGAAGAACAAAGATGCAGAGGTCAATCCATGCATCAACTTCCATTTCCAGCTTACCAGCACTCAGTTTTCTATTTTCTCCTCCCCTCTGCTTCCAAAGGCTGATACAACTGGACAGCATGCTGATTACAGCCAGAGCTGGAATACCTTAATTTTTACATCACCCTGTACCTTAGCTGCAACTTTTGGCTCTTCATGAAACGAGATACATAGGCTACCACAAGTAAAGATGCTTAGTGCCCACACTGATACCTGTAGTCAGATCTAAAAAGTCTTTGAAAACAGAATTGCAGAGGGATGGGACGTTACACTTATTCACAGTACCAACACTGCCTTGTTAATTCATTCCTAAACCAACAGGGTTTTGGGTAAAAACCAAGCAAACTAATGCACAAAATATATTTGTCAAGAGGATGAATCATGGTCTTAGTACTGATCTGCACTGGGGAGTTTCTGTCAGCACTCTGGTTCTTGATTACGGCACAGTTGTTTGGGTTTTTCTTTTCTGTTCCGTACTTCAGAGGGTCCATGTGAGTTTGATTTCTAACTGCTCACTACATCAAGGGAAGTCAGGATAGATGCTCGACTTGTGGCTCACAACATGTAATAGAATTGCCTTTTATTTATGCTTACAGCATGTAATAGAATTGGTTCCCTCCAGAAAGTAGAGTCACATTCCCCTTTTTGAAGATTTCACATCTTTGCTTCTTTTCTACAGTCTGTCACCTCCCTTATTTAAGAACTCACCCTAGGGCTGATTAAGTTATCTCCCTGGAAGAACTCTGCTGCAATGGATTGTACTGTCTCCACATAGTGTTCACGCTGACACACATTAGGGTAGTGGAAAAAGCCTCTAGAAATAGAAACATATAGAAAAGATGTACAGAAACAGAGCAGTACTTGCTTTTTCTTAAGATGATGTTCTGCAATGTGGTTGCTTGCTGCTGTTTATAAGACAAGGGATGTAAATTACACTTGTGAAGTAGATTAGCTTCTACTTCAAGCACTAATTGGCTTTCTGAAGATAAAATATGTTATACTAAGATCTACACACAAGTCTGTTTCCTAACAATGCAGTTTTCCATGACAAAAATGCCAACATAAACAACTTTAAAGTAGAAAGAAAAAGAAAACCCTTAAAAATGAAACTACTTCTAGGAACTCACAGTTCCCGAATCAGCTTAGCTATTGTTAATTCTAAGTTTGCTTGGTTGCTTTTTTCTTAACCAGAGCACCATCAGCATTCATGCCATACTATAAAGCACCAGGGCTGAAGAGCTTATGCTTTATCCCAGGCCCAACACAATGCACAAAGGCAACAGCTGACATGCCAGATTGCATGAAAGCCTTTTTGTAGAGATAGTGGAGGAAGCTTGTGTGACAAAAGGAAGAGAGCAGAGTATTGCAGGGGAGGAAAGGCTTTTAGCTAACATTAGCAAGTGCTTCCCAAACCCAGCAAATTCCAGGGAGCTCAGGCCTCTCCTCTCTGAAAGGAAGGTTCTGCAAGTATTCCAAAACTCCTTTACTGGCTCAGCTTACTTTGCAATTTGCTGACACCCAGCTTCCCTCTGGGAAAAGCAATAATGAAAACATTATTAAGGGTTTAATTCTAGCTGCGCTGAGCGATGTGAAGCACTAAAAAAAGCAGTCATACACAGCTAGGCATCTGATGCTAGACAATCTGTAGACAGTCTTATAAGACAGCCACCACTGGTCCGCAAAACAATGTGTGTGTATGTTGACTGTCCCAGACACCTGTGGTCAGGCCTTAAGGACAGGCATTTCCATAAACATTCTCAGGGCAGCATACGGACTCAACTGGGAAGTTGGGTCAACACACTCTGAAGTTCGCACAGGAAGTAAAATTTTACATTAGAAGCACAGCCAATCCATCAGCACAAAGAAAAAAGTTGAAAACTTTTAGTATGTGGGAAAGGCTCTGTTACCCTGCACAGTCTTCATCTCCTTCTGAGAAAATGGAATCAAACGTGATAAAAGGAAAATAAATGACTGATAGATAAATCAAAAGAGAGATTGAGGCTGCAGCCTCCAGGATCTCACTGGGATTCACCTCTTCCTACAGTGCTCCTTTGTATAAGCTTCACAGAAAATACTGAGATAAGTGGTGGTCAGTATAAGGTGTAAAAGTAGTCTTGGACTGCCTTCAGGCTTAAGAAAGATATCTGTGTTTTTTCAGACTTTTCAACTATGAATCCCTTCCTGAAGCCACACCATTTCTTATAGAAACCACCTATCACACTCTGTTAGGTACACCACTCATTTTCAGTCCCCATACCCAAGGAAGCAATGGAAACCTGAGCTCGGCTCTGAAGAGGTGTGCTGCTGCCAAGCCAGCCTGGGATCAGCCTCTGAACACTGCCAGCTGCAGCCTCACATAAATATTTCTAATTTTATGAAAGAAATCGAGTCTACCTTCTGAGACATGACAGATCTGATCTCCCGTTAGATGAATTTATGTAAGAAAAGTACATCAAGCATTACTAAACATAAAGAGGCAGAAATCAAAAAGCCGACAAGACCAAAGTACTAATCTATTCCCTCACTGTTTATACCTTACTCATCTAGTACTGGCCCTGACACAGAACAGTAGATGAATACCGAATGAACCCTGATTTGATTCCATATGCCTGTTCTTGTCTTCCAGGTCAAGGGAATTAAAATCTGGGTCTCCTGTAGCTTGGGGGAAGGTCATACCACTAGGGTCCAAAAAAAAAAAAAAAAAAAAAGGAAATCTGTTGCATGACAATACTGGAAAAAAAAATTATTACAAGTAATTAATGTACAAAGTAACTGAAGACCTAACAAGCAGAGAAAGATCCTTCAGAAATGTGAAGGGTAGCAAAATCTTCACAACTTAAACTGGAAATAAGAGGTTAAGGTGATACAAGCACCAACGTGCAGCTGAAACGTTCTTTAAGAACACTGTATTTCTATGTTACAAGGACTACAACACCCCTAGGAAGAAAGCACAGCCACCGTGGGCCACGTCCAAGTTTGGGTTAATCATCTAAAGCAAACAAGAGCTACAGCAAATGTTCCTGATGTACATTTTAAAATGTTCTCAGATGCACTAAATATTACAAACCCTCCACCTTTGATCAGAGGATTCTTTTACTCCCTGACGTCTCATTGCACCCACAAACTACTGACTGTCACATCGCATCACATCACTGGCAATGCACCTGAGAAGAAAACCTTGTTTGCCATTAACAATGTAACCTAACAAATACCATCCTTAAACAGGTACATTTGCTTCCTCAAAGGCAGCACTTGCTGTGAGCTCACAGCTCTGCTTTCCTCTGCTAACGTATTTCCCGGCTACTTTAAGCTGAAACATATACAATGAAAATGGAAAATGCAAACAAAAATGTATTTTCCCAGTTTTTCATAACTGCTTTATATAGTACCCATGTTATTGAATTGTTCCAACAGGTATCATCAGTTCCTTGGGTAGAATTAAGATCTATGCTGGCCCTTACCTCATCAGTTCCTGGACTTCAAGGTTTTGATTCTATTCAGCATTCTGACAAGGCAAAGACACTAATGATGCTTACTAGGGACAAATACCATCCTCTATTTTATGCATTTTAAAAGCTCTGACCACTATGCCTCTGAAACTCCTGATGGAAAAAAAAGGATGCCTAAAACATTAAACATATTGTCAGCAGCCTAGATTTTGTTCCCATCCCTGTTTGACTCCCAGTGTCATGTAAGGACACAGCTCCCAACTTCCAACATTCTCTTTTTAGCTGGCATGAGACTGGCACACCATGGAGGGAGGCAGCTGGCATCACACAGTGCTGCAGCACCTGGTTCTCAGCTATGGTTATACTGAGAGAGGGCAGCCAGAACTGCAGGAGATTACTTCTATCTTCCCCACAAATACTACGGCTTCCTGCTCTCAAACCACCAATCAGCATAAATTATAAGAAAAGCTTATGCCTTTGGGTCCCTCACCACATCTGCTACCTTCTTCTACAAATTTCGTTAACACCTATCTACAAGGTGGTTGTACCAACACAAAGTGGAAAAATCTCCAAAACCAAGAGTATCCCAAGGCCTTGGGATACAATTAAAGGATATCAATAACTTTAGCATGCTGTAGAGCAAGAGTTATAGAAATAATAAGAGATCTTCAAATAGAACTAGACATTTTTGCAAAACATAGATGTAAGACATCCAGAAGCATGAAAAGCAATGGCCATGGTCAGCCACACATGCATTTTGGCTGACTTCCCTTACTCAGTGAAGACAGCAAGAATACAGTATTGATATCAAAGGCTTTCAGCCAACCATCCAAACCACACATGCAACTGTTTTAAGCACAGGAAAAGAGAAACATTACAGAAAAAGGAAAACCACCAGGGAAATGGTAACAGAAAGAAGGTTATCAAGGGCTAAACATTTGTTTTAACCAGAAAACAACAGAAGAACAAAGTTGATGTATAATCCAGTTATACACATTCCCCAACATGTATTATTTTTCTAACACGCTCATCAATCAGCTTAAGTAACTCTTGTTAAATTAAGTAACAGCCAGGCTATGCTAACATGTGGCCAAAACAGCTTTTTAAAATACACACCGCTGGGGAGTACAAGGTCAAGAATTTGTTAGAGGTCAGGTATGACATTATCTGTGGATGGAGTTTATCATGCAAATAGAACTTGTTTTACCAGGTGGGCATGAAAATTTGATGACTTTGCTTGCAAGTAACAAAAACTCAGATGTACTAGTTTAGGATTTTGTAATTTTGCTTGGCAAGTGTTACCAGGACCAGCAGCAGCAGCAGCTCTCAAATGCATGCTGGACTTTAAATGAGCAAGAAAGCTAGAGTTCGTTGTCCACTTCTTCTGTTCTCCTACTGAACCTTCCTAACACTCAAAGTACAGTCCCTGGCCCATCACTTCACCTGCACATCACACCTCATAATCTCACTCCATCTTCCCTACACTCCAGCATCCCAAGGGGCACAG